CACATAAGTCGCATCTATTCAGACTTATATCAGAATCTCTTTCTAAACGCATCAACTTACGATTACGACAAATAAAACTTCATTATAGAAATTAGACATTGCGACATTTTATTGTTGCTCATCACCGTCAAATATTCTCTGTCCACTCCTTCTTTTTCTGTTTACGTGAAAATCCTATAATATTTTAAGAAAATTTTCAAACAATTTCAGCTCTTGGAATAGTCTTCTATGAAAGATGCTTTGTAAATAGGCCGCTTAATAGATAACGTAGCATTGTAGAGAACTTGTCTTGACTGTATTGACGAATATACTAAAGTATGCGTATGTACATTAAGGATATATAATACGTCCCTCAATAAGTTCGTAGGATGTCGTACGGATAAAGATTTGTCAAAATTTCATGACATTCCGACCACGAAATTCACATTTTCAGCGTTCAGATCATATGGATCCATCAATATAATATCCTACGAACTTATTGAGTAATGTGTTACTTCCGAACTTCGAAAGGAAGGGCTTGAGATAGACCCACCCTTTAATATCACAATAACTTTCTGAATCGATCTAAGCTTGTCTGTCTTATGTCTTATCCTTGTCTGCCCATGTATGCTTGTGTTAAGCGTACAGGTTGTGATATTTGATGAAATTTGGCACATGGTGCGAGGAAGAAGAATATTGAAAATAGCTCAGATTAGACCATACTTTCGAGCATATGAAGCCTTATTTTGAAAAGTTCTTATATAAATAACGCATAAATAGCGCAATCGGTTAGGGTACTTAATGCAATATTTTTACTCGTTTACTTTAAGATGAATAAGCTTTTCTCGCCTCAAAGTTTACAATCGAATGTTAAGAACATAGTTAAGCGAATAGCAAGCATTGGACTTGATTAGCCGCATATATTATTATTGTTTTATTTACTATAAAACGCAGCGTATTAACGCAGTTCATGTTAGATTCAGGCAATTAGCTAAAAGAGAAACCATTTGCTTTTCGACCTCAATATATAAATAAGTTTACAGAGCTAATCTAACACCTCATCAAAAGTAAACACAGCACAAAAATATCTATCAGATATTTGCCCTTCATTCTTCCTGTTGATTTGCATTTGCACTATGGACAAAAATCTTCTTTTTTTTCTCATTTAATGTAAACAAGAATTTTCCTGTGTTTTTGGAAAACTAAAAATAGGTAAAAAAAAAAAACAAATATTTGTTGCAGTTATTTAGTTAGGTATGTGGGATAATGTCGGCGGACATTTAAGATTTTTGATTTATTTTCGCGATAAAAATAACAATAACTCATTTTCATCAGAATATCAACGCACGCATGTCAAAATAAAAAAAATAAAGAGAAAAACGTAACGAAAAAGTCAAAACATTTCGATAGAATTCTTTATAAACAAGATGCTTACAATAAATAGTAACGTAACGATAATCTGTAAGAGCGTATATATAAATATATATGTATATGTATGAGAAATGCTTTAGTAAATATTTCTAATTATAAAACTAAAAAAAAATAAAATATAGAAATGAATCCTACTCTCTCCTTCCAAGTAATGTAAAGGCACTTGAATAAATAAAAAATTTTGAAAACACTTTTTCTACTTTCCAGTCGTAGCTCTTATCAAATGGCAGATCGTTAAATGCTGTAATTTATGAGCGATTGAAGAAAATTACAACCAGATTCGATTTTGTTAATATGTTTCACTCATGCGAGTACGATAAGTGCGTATGTGGGCGTTCTCAAAAGTGATCAGACCGTTTTTCTTTTCTTTGCATTATCAGTTAGATCACATGGAAAACCGTGTAGATGGTTTTCTTTATTCTTTTTTTGTTCTAATATGACCAAGAACTCTGGGCGTGACCCCTATCTGTATAAGACGGAAAGAAGTGGGAAGAGCGAGATATAAAGTGGTTGCAACCTAGGAAGTCAATGCCCGACAAGTAGTGATCACCGATCGAGCCGTCACAGTAGCTACGGCCACACGGAAATCATAATTGAAGTAAGGTCTACCGCCCTGAAGACTGAAACCGCGGCTATATGTTCGCGCTTCTTAGCGACTTGATTGCGCGGTAGCCCATCTGATCTGGTCTAATTTCATCAATTCTGAGTATGGCTGATGAGTGTTTGCGTTTTTTAAAATTTCAAGCTGAAGCGCCACGACCAGTAATTAATTCATACAAAATCAAGCTTGATGAACATTATTCTGATAGAATGTATAAACGATTACCCTACGAAATCTAACAAAACATATTTATTACAAACTACTACTACTGTCATTAGGGACGAAAGCTTAAAAATGAAATATTTCGGATCCATCGCTTAATGAATGTAGGCGCCGCACTTTACAACACAGTTATAGGAGAAAATATGGAAAAAAATGTATTTTCCCTAACTTGTGTCAGTCTCTTCTGCCTGGCGGGCGTGCATATAAGCACACCACGCCCACTCTGAATCGATCAATGGATTTTCAAGAATTCTCTCCTTTTATAGCTGTAGTTGTCCCGCAAAACTTATAGGCCTAAATGGTCCATAGGTCCAGATCTTAATAGAAAAATAAAAACATGTTCGTCCTATCATGTAAGCGCTTAAAGCGAAGGCATCAAAATAACTTAAGCTACGGAGTAAACGATATTGAGGACAATTTAAATTTTAGCCATGGCTTTCGATTCAAATTCGTACAAAAAACGTGTTTCTTTTTTTGCAATTTGATTAATTAATTAACTAAATTTGTATGATTTGAAAGATGGGATATTATGGTAGCAGAAGGAAACTAGAAACACCACTTTGAAGTGGGGTAAGCTAATTAAATTTGCAGTAAAGTGAACCTTGAAATCTTTTCACCGTAAGAATAGTTTTAAAAAATTACTTCTCAATCCAGATCGGCGTTTTGGAAGCCCTTGAGAATTGTTGCAAAACACTAAAAGAACACGAAATTGAAAATTAATTTCATATCGAAGCATAAGGATGAAGTCTCCCTAGAAGATTTGGAAACTTTTCAAAATATTTTCTGCTTACTTTGAACATAAGGTTCAGTATCGTAAAATTATCGCAAAGATGATAATTGCATTTTTATTTTTGAAATACTTTAACAGAATTTGCGCAAAAATTCACTTTCACTTATTCACTTTGCCTACAAGCAGCTGCAATTCTTAATGAGAAGAGCTGTTCGCCTAAGTAAATCGCATTCTCCGTTAGATTTTAAATAGGATCGTACTCGTTAGTATGTAAATCTTTCAAATTAAATGGTTTATTAAGCTATTCGCCCAAGATTTTCAATTCGTATAAAAAACTAAGCTAATTTCATTAAATTTCATTCCTGGCTAACGGCCAACCACAACAAATTTAACAAATTACAAGTTCAAGAGATATTTCGTATACTTATTTTCTTCTTTGCTTTTATTTGCTTAGCGATTCTAATGGATTCAAGCGAAAGAAAATATTAATTTTATAAGAAATGCTTAGCAAAATACTCATTTACTCATTAGGATTTACAATGATGTTTACTATGCTTTATGACATTTAAAAATAAATATTTTCCATATTTTTATTTTATTCGCACAGATTCATTTGAACTCTTTACGTTATTAAATGTAATCAAATTGAAAATTTAATAAACATATTTTCATTGTTATTTAATTAATTTTAATAGAACACAATTTATATAAATTATTCCCGTTTCTCGCCTGCGCGCTGTACACGTATGTACTTATGTGATTCACACAGTTTCAATTTTATAACAATTTTAACAATTTATTTGACATTTTCATTTTTTTTTTCTTTCTGAATGCCATCATTAAAGGATGAGGAGGCGATAGTTTTGTCATTCTTCTTGCAACATTTGCAAATACGCAGAAGAAGCCCCGTAGAGGTAAATAGTCTATCGTTGATTAACATAAAATTATAATCCGTTTAAAGCCGAGTGCCTTGCATACGCCAGATGCTGTTGGAGGTTTCAAAGTGGCAAAATATGCGAAGAGGTAGACAGAGTTAAAATCTTACATTCGCGTATCCTAAATTTTAGTTCTCTCTTCTCCTGCAGTCAAATCGGCTCGTAAACTCGCCACAAGTTAGTACTAAAAGAGAAACAAAACTTGTAAGCTAAATATTTGTATAAATATTCAAGGGGACCGTGGAAAAGTTCAAGGTAAAAAATTGGCTACCTCCGATTATTGCGAAAAAAAAATTCAAGCTAGAGGGTGTCCAAGATTCGCTCTGAGGCATATATAGAAGTTTTTTAACATTTTTTTTTTTTTAATAAAATTATTGCTTGTTTGTGTTTGTATGAACAGTTTAACGAGCAACAGAAACATATGTAAATATTTTTGCCATTGTTTGTCTTACAATAACAGAGAGATATCGTATGTTGTCATTAATATCTACATGAATATGCATAAGTTTACTTAATGGAATGGCAAGAATGTGAGAACCCTCTCTATCACACATGTTCAGAAATTTATTTCAATTTAAACGGTTCGAGAGAAAACTTCTTATTTTTGCAAAAATAAAATTATTTGCTTTAACAAAAACTTTATTTTTACTTAATTCCATTATAAAGATACTTTTACTTTTCAATTAACTCGAACACAAAATGAATCGTTTTGAATTATGAAAAAAAAAAATAAAAAAAAAAAAAAAGATCGCCTTTGACGCAATAAACATAAAATTTTTCATGCATTATTAAAAATCAATTTTCTGTTTATATATTCTTCCACACACCATACCATTAAAAAAAATGAATAATGATGATAATGTGAAAAATCGAAATTTCTGCAGCGCCAAAAATAAAAACAAAAAAAAAACATTAAAGCAGAAAATCAAAATTATGAATTAAAGTAAATAATTAATGGAAAAGTGTGGTAGAGAGAGAGAGAGAGAGAGAACATTCTTCATAAAAGGCCGCAATTTTTCATTTAAATCTTGACTGAGTCAGATTTCTTGACAAATTAATCAATTGTTTTTTTTTTTTTTTTTTTTTTTGGGCGAACACTTACCTCGTTATCGGTCCCGGTGATTCACTGACGGCCTTTATCGATCTTCGTAAATGTTTATGGAATGTTCCAAGCAAGGACTCTTTGCGTTGTATTTGTACAGTTTTCTCATTCATATCTCCAATGTTGGCATTCAATTTTGTAGTATCGTTTATATCATCTTTGCCCAGGCATATGGTAACCGTGCCGTTACTAGGGCCACCTACCATGCCGCTGCCACCATTTAATTGCTGGACGGTATTATGTTCGCCTGTTAATGGACTGGCTTCGCTAGCAGGGCTATGGTTATTATTATGACTATTATTGTTGTTGTTGTGCTGTTGCTTAAAATCTCTAATTAAACTATTATCGTTATGTGACATCATTTTAGTAATCACAGCGCCTTTGCCCGTTGCCGTCGTATCATGTTCATTGAGCAACTTTGTCCAAGCATGCTCGCTAACCATATCCGCTTTATCAACAATCATTTTTTTTTTGTTTGTTCGTATTCGATGGAATTTTTAAGAATTTTTTATTTTATTGTTATTTTTAAAAATCAAGGCAATATAAAGAATTCCCCATAATTGAAGATATTTAAAAGCAAGCATCGACTTTCCATATGGTTTTCAAGTGAGGAACGCTGAAGAAAGTAATCACTGCAAGAAAAGTTTACAAAAATCCAAGATGTAATAAGCAATGGATATATGCTTTTAGTTTTTGCATTTAATTTTCTTCAATTTAAGCTGAAATTAAGTAAAAGGCTTGCAGCTGGCGACAGTTCACGTAAAATGACTTTGGTCCGATCAGATCCATTTTCAATAGCGTTCGTCTTTGAAACAAAACACGTCAATCTCTCAAAGAAATTCATTAAAATGCTTTAAGAATTGCGGCCCGTAAGTTGAAGAAAGCAAAATGAACAGTCGGACAGACAAACTTAAATCGACATAGCAAGTATTTCGGAATTGATCGGTATAATAATAGATAAATCTATTTCAAGTTTCTTTTAGCGTTGCATACAACCCCCCTAACTTCAAATACCCATCTGGCACAAGCGATGGAAGATATGAAAACTCCCACATAATTCATCTAAGTTTGGTTTACCATACGCACAAAGATAGACAGATAGATACCGCTTCGTATTCTGCTACGACTCGTAGTATGAAATGTTAAATCGTTCAGCTAAAAATGTGAAGATTAAGCGGCGGCAGGGCTCGAAATTTGTTATCAATTTCGATAGAAAATCAATTCAATTAATAATCAAGTTTGCTCTTGCTTATGCTTGGCCTTAAACTCCAATGTAAAAAAACATATAAAAGACCGGGGATACGTATTAACAACGAAGCGAACATATTGCTGTCTGGCCGCGTGAGTCAACAACTTTATATTCAACAAAAAAAAAAAAAAAAAAATCAAACTAAGAAAATGATATAAATTTTGGAGGTCCATCTATATTATGTTGGCTTTAATAGCTGATTGGTGTTTATCAGTGAAACATTTATGAAAAAATAAAAGTGTTGCCACTTATTTGCTTTAATACTCAATCAGTTGAGATAACACAACAAATCTTTTAGCTGAGTGCCATAAATAAAAGACGAAACACTTAATAAATCAGAAAATTTATTAGCTTCGATTAGTATACATATATATATATATAAATATATATAGATAATCTGATACCAAATCCAATCTTAATGGATTTTGTGATTGTATTTTTATTTTTTTTTTTTTCGAACAGCTATCTCATAACCTTTCAAGTACTTGTTGGGTACCTAAATAATTCATTTAATGCTTTTCGATAATTTATTGTTTAATGGACTTGTTCATGGGGTGTATAAAGAAAAACCTGATATCGATTTATAATAACTTTCTGATGATAGCAGTGTAAAGAGAAAAAAACTTATCTAACTCAAGATTTATCTAACAGCATACTTAGTCGTCCTTATTTAGTTAACATGATTACCTATTGCTTAGAGGCAGATAGCTATACCACATCATATAAAATTGGAAATGTCTTAAAGAGAATTTAACATAGTTTTTATACAACTACCGCTCCATTTCATATAAAAATGTAACTTACAAAGTCTTAGTAATTTGTAGAAATAGAATTACACCCTATGGCCAAACGAAAGCAAACAGTAAACGGAATTATCTCAACGCATTCGTCGAATGGACAAAGTGAGTGCGAAGAAAATCTGTAACGTGTGAAAAGTCGTGTAATTATTTTTTATCCCAAAAAGTGTGGAACCTAAGTGTTAAAAAAAATCGAAGGCCAAGAAAAACAACTAATGAAATTACATCTAACTGAGGGGGAACGTTTCGTAGCCAAAACCGTATGCCTATTAATTGATCTGCGACCATCCTTTACAAGTTCAGATGGCAAGCTTAAATTTAATTTTGATGACTGAATGTACAAAACATAAGCAGTAGATAGAGAGACGAATAGGTGGACAGACGGACTGACATAAGAATAGAAGAAGTAGATTAACACGATTCAGTATATAAAGCTAATCAAACATACATATATTATACCTCTAATATCTATTTTTAAATATTACTCTGACTGACTAATCACCACCCGTCGGTGATCTGGTATCGCAAGAAGACTTGTTTCAATTAAAGTAAATTTTTGCTAAGCGATTTTAGAAAACTTCACAAATTCTTTTATTATTTATGGATACGCTAGTGGGTGAGCTTTGAAGAAATCATTTACGCACCTCTGAGAAGTATGTGACGTGTATCCTGGTCGAGCAAATATATTATTAATCTTGAGCAAGAGAATCGTATCCTTTCTATAGCGAAAGTTAGACATAAAGTTTGCAAGGCGAAGAATTCTACTCCGCGACGACGGATGAACGTGCTTAATTAACTAAATTTGAAAACTTATTCGAGGAATAGTACTTATGTAGTATATCACTCCATAAGGGTGGCGCTACTTTTCTTTTTGTAAAACAATGGAAAAATCTGAATTTACTGTCCCTGGACCACTTATAAGCTTGTAAACTGATGGCCGGAATGTCATGTCATTTTAAAACGAATCGTTTGGGGGATGCTACTATAGGATGTTATATCCCTGTTATTCTTTATAAAATTATCTTATCTTATTATATCTAGGGATTAAGAGATAGAGGAACTAATGTACTTTTTCCGTAATTGGTGTCAGATCTAAAATAACAAAGCTGGTTACCTATCTTAGATTTCACTTTGAATATAATTTATGAACACGTTGTTGCTCCGGGTCGAAAATTGGACGTTTTCATCTGCGCTGCGCTTGATGCAAACCTTTTACCTTGGGCAGATTGCCTTCTTGTTGCCTGATTTTTACTATATTAGTTTTTCCTCTCATCCCAAGGTTGATCGAAAATGCTCCCGTTTTCAGGGTATTACCCTAAGGAAAAGCATGTTGATAAGTACTGGAAACGCGAAACTTATTTTATTTTACATATGTTTCGTCCATCTATCTGGCAAAACAAGGAGAAAAAAAGGAAAGTGCTTACAGTAGCGTGCTATTCTGAATCGAGTTAATTATTACGTCTAAATCCATCTATAAACCCAGCTGTACCGAATAAAAAAACCTTTGCTTTAGCCGAATAGGCAGGTGGTGAAGGTTCTCCTCAAGGTGAATATTGTTTTGTTGTTAGTTTTCCAACATAACATAATTAAATCGTTTAATATTATAATAAGCAACTCATTAACTCTATATAAAATTGATTTCGAAATATTCTAAGCATTTATTTACCTTAAAAACTTTTTTATTATCCATCGATCATATGGTTTCATTCATATTTCAAATAAATAAATAAATTATTTTTTTATTTATTTATTATTTATTTTTTTTTTTTTTAATTACAAATTATTTTTACGTGAGGTTACTGGTGTTTCTTTGTTTTGGTTTGTTTTTTATATGTTAATATTGTTATGTTTTTTGTTCACATTTTGCTTTTTAAAATTATACTTGCGGTGTTTGCTTTCAAGAGATAACGAAATATTTTCTTATTTGCTATACAATACAAAATGCAATGCAAAAAAAAAAAAAACAAAAAAAAATTTTTTTTTTTTTAAATTCCAAACTTGAGTTGTTCAGAATGGCATTCGTATATAACCATATGCGCACATATACTTTTACAGATATACATGAACATATAAAGATTTATTATTTTCTAATTTATTTTCATTATTAATATTTTATTATTATGATTTGGATAACGAACAAACATTTATGTGATTTCTTTTTTTTTAACTTTATTTTTTGTTTTCACTTGTAAGAAACTTGGCTTGATATTCGTTAGCAGCTCAATTTTTTTTTCTTCTTTTTTTTTTTTAATTTACAAATCCAAGCACAGCGTTTCACCTGAAGTTCTTTAACATTTACTCAAACCACGACAAATATAAACAAAAAGCAACTAACGTTCTCTGGCATTTGTATAGACGGCGTTCCATGGGTTAATAGTGTAATTAGACTTTTATTTATTTATTTATTTATTTTTTTTTTTTGTGTTTTTATATATATTTTTCCAATTTTTCTCTCTTTTTGCTTTCTTCTTTTATTTGATTCATTAAAATAAATAAAAAAAAAAAAAAAACAAAAAATAACAAGATTACATTTTTATTTTATTTTGTTTATATTTCGTTTCGTTTTCTTTTCTTTTCCTTTTTTTTTTTTTTTTTCTTCTTGGTTTTCTTCTTAACAGCCGTAGTAGTTGCCTTTCGAACTGAGCAAACGTTATTAACTGACTCTGACTATATTTGAGACTAAAACATTTGTGTGCTGAGGTTGATTCCGTTTAGCAGCTCTTGCCGCCTGCAATCAACCTCAGTCCGTCATTTGTGTTACTGAGCTGTTTAATTCGACTCGAATTCAGTTTGCTTTAACGCCGCTAACTACACCGCCACCACTACCATCACCGCGTTCCGTATCGGGCCATGCGTTTCGTTCTTATTCGCCGATTACTCACCATTTTCACAGACCGATGTTCTTTCTATGCGCAGCTGTTAGTGAACAGACACATTTTACATGAGACTTAATTCTCAACAGAATCAGACCAGCGACTGCAAACAACAAATCGCTTATGTTCGTTTTACTATGTAACTATATTGATATCATCAGCAAATCTACAACAGCTAAAGTTAATGGAGAGCCACGAGCTATACGAGCTATGCCATGCTTACATTTGACTGCACTGCACTGCGCGCACTCTGCCATTCTCTGTTTATATTTTCTGGTGTTATATGCACGTTATCATCATTTATAGGTCATTGCATTAGGAAATCTACAGAGAGACAACAAGACAAAAAGAAGAAAAATACCATAAAAGTTAATTAAATAGATTAATAAAGATGCAAAAAAGAAAACGAAAACATATTTGTTTCTCCTCACCAGTTAGCTGCAGTACCCTTTAATAAAGAAAACCCCATTGAGTTATATGTGGAGGAGTTTCGCTCTCAATTGCTTTCCCTTCAGTTAAATCTTTCTGAGGAGTAGTCACGATATTTGATTAACTCGATCTGCATTAGAATTAATGTGAAAACATTGTGTGGAAACCTTCATATGTGCTTATGTGTGCACAACATTGTCAACATTGCCACCGTCATCAACTGTTGCTCCCCGTGTAGGTTTATCTACATTTGTATATCGCAACAGTTCAAGATAATTACTCGATAACTCACTAAGCTTAGTCAGTTTATGTATATATATATATATATATATATATATATATATATAAATATATATATGTACACATATGTGCTAAGTTTAGCTTTAAATCGCTTTCCATTTGACTGCCAGTTAGCCTCTAAGCATACAATTATTTTGGCATCATTTAGACTTTAAGTACTTGAATATATTGGTGTATCTATGTGTATATGTGTTCGTCTTTTAACTTAAGTATATTTATGCATAGAAATATTAACTAGTCGAGTCGCTGCTTAATTTCAGAAACAATAAACTTGATTATTTAGACGATATCCACACGACGCAGCTACTTACATATTGTTAAGTCAGGCATGGGTAGATGCACAAGAAAACTTATCAGTTAAAAGGTATTCAGTGATCGGCTTTCTTGGAATTTATTTTATACAAAATACGTCTACTAGGAAATACAATGCGATTTTCTTCGTCCTCCTTTTCCTTTCTAGATGTTTTAGAATAGCCCGCTTGTCAGGCAAATCCTCCGCTCTTTTTCGCTTTTCGCTGTCCTTTCCTTTCTTTTTCTTCACTCGGTTTTATTTCAAAATCACTTTCAGCTTTCTTTTTTAATAAATTTTTTTCTTTTTTCCTTTTTTTTTTTTTTTTTTTTTTGGGTGTAAAATAAACTGTAAGATATACTACTGGTGGAATTTTTATCAACTTGGATTTCGTAATTCGCAAAAAAAAACGAAAATACTTTAACTTCGTCATCTCATTCGTAACTGAACTGAACTAGAGAAAATCATTCTTGATCGGTGCAGGAGCGAAAGCCGAAAAGTTATTGTAATAGTTTGTGCAGAAATCAGTCAACATTTTTAAGATGGTAGTAGTTCTTTGATTAATAGCAGACGATGATCGTGCACGCACTCCAAAAGTATTTCAACGGGCAACACAAGGAAAAAGGGCATAAATCTCTCTCCACCGTATCTTGCGTGCAGGACAAAGTCTCTAGTGCGAGACATAAGACCTAGCGAATGGTTACACAAGAGTCGCCTTGACTCCTAAACACCTTTCCTCGCCTTTTATTTTTACATGGATCATATTAAGTCAAATAAATGTTTACGTCGCTCACACACTATGACCCTACCAAGCTACATGTATTAAAAACGATTAAATAATTTTTGATTCTCTTTTTTATTCCTGTGGTGAAACAGCGATTGTCAGATCAAAGCACCGAAACAAAGGTTCCCTTAGGCTGTGTTAGTGTATACTTATGTCATTTAAATTACTTCATTACCTTTTTACGTTAAGGATTTCCTATCAATTATGTTAGTGTTTCGATACTCCGGCAGATATCTTATGGTATATACGTAACGAGCTTTCTTAGCCGGAATATAAACCCAGGACTTTCAAGGCTCAAGGCAGAAGGTCCGTTTCCAAGAAATTTACAGAAAAGAAAATACTTCCATCATCGAGTTTATTGTTATAATTTTTAATATTATTTGTCCTTTGCGGGCGGAGGAAAGAGGAGTCAGCACAGCGATGTGGGCGATCGACTCGGATCACAATTTCGTGCTAGCGGTTTCATGGATTAAAATATTATATCTTATGCTCCTGAAAACAAATGCATTGTGTAACGGGAGCCAATCTAAAAGAAGTATCTGTGACCCTAACCTACACCGTTCTGCCCCTATCCGTCCAAGTGGTTATTCAGGGAGAGCAACTAAACTAAGTCAGCTAAGCCTCTAGTAGGGGGGTCAAATAGTCGGGATAAACAAAAAATAGAATTTGTTATTAAATCAGAAAGAAAAAAAAAAAAAAAACTGTGGGCATGAAAAGATTCGTTTCCAACCGAATACGAGCTTTAATTTTATTTTATTTTATTTTTTTTCTTGTCAGTTAATAATATCATTACTACTGATTGTGTAGTGAGTTTTTTGACTTGATTGTTATTAATTTTAATAAACATATTTTGAATACACGTAAAACATATATAAAACAGCGGGAGCAAGACGAACGCGCTTGTCCCATGACGAGGGTCGACAACTACATGTTACAAGTCTTCGTCGGCAATACTTGTTTACTATAATATTTTGTTTAGGAAAATAATGCGGAAATTTTTTTTCATATAAATTCTTCTTTTTTTTTTTTTTTTTTTTTTTGAGAGCAAATTATGGTAAACAAATTATGATAGAAAGCATCGCTAAGACTATTTATTAAGAAGTGCTTAGAAGAAGAAGCATTGATTGTGAATAAAACCGGAATGAAAAAAGCCGACTTAGGACTGGCTGTGAAAATAATTTCAAAATTTCTGATAATCTCCGATGGTAAGGCAGATTATGTTGTTTTCGCGTTCATTTTCTAGATACAGTAGCAATCAATTGAAAGCAAAGCAAACTGATGGAGTTTTGTTGATAATTGACTTGACAAAGACAAATGTTGCTTTGATTTTATTTTTAACATTTATTTATTTTTATTTTTTTTATTTTTTGTCGTTTAATCGAATGATAAGTTAATCTGCTGTCCTACCGCGTTTATTTACCTTAAACAAAAACATTAAATATCATTATAATTCACAGCAAATAAAAACAAAATAAACAAGTCTAGCAAAAATGCCCATAAAAAATATCGAAAATCTATAATTTTGGATTTCAGTCACGATTTTTGGCCAACAACATTTTATCGATACGTTACTCACTAGAAACACATTCCGCTAAGAAATTGAACCTCAACATAAAAAAAAAAATTTTTTTAAAATTAAAAAAAAAAAAAAAAAAAAAAAACAAATTTCCCTACCTTTCTGTACCCTACACTATGAATTTTAAGAATAAAAGAAAATTGCTTACAAAATTTTAATGGACGGATATCTTTCGATTTTAACCGTACGAGTTGTGAACATGTAAGAATTGGAGCTGCATTCCAAGAGCTATTATATATATTAGAAACGAGATAAAAACAAAATCGACTTAAGTAAAAACATGTCGTCTAAGGCCTCCAATGAACAGAACTTTCTCCATTTTAATCTTAAGGAAAATGTTAAGTAGTCATGCGCGGTAGCCGAGCTAAGGATTTATTTTTAGCTCGTTACGGGGGCTTCGCATTGAAGCAGTTTAAAAATTATTCGACCGTTCGGCAGCTGCGTTTTTGTTTAACCACT